TGAACCAAAATTATTTTTTCAGCTACAGTATGAGCCTTGAGAGGCTAAAATCCCTGCCTCTCATATTCAGCGTTGTGTCTCCAGCATAGGTATTACAAGCCCATGATAAATATTTGTTGAATGAATGAAAAAATGTCTTCTTCACTTGACTATGAGCTACTTGAGAGGACTGGCTGCACAGTTCCTGAGGGTTTTTTTTTTTCTTTTTTCCTTCTTTGAGACAGGGTCTCTGTCGGCCAGGCTGGAGTGCAGTGGTATGATCTCAGCTCACTCCATTCTCCATTTCCAGGGCTCAAGTGATCCTCCCACCTCAGCCTTTTAAGTAGCTGGGACCACCAGCGTGTACCAACATGCCTGGCTAATTTTTGTGTCTTTTTTAGAGATCAAGTTTTACTGGGTTTCCCAGGGTGGTCCCGAACTCTTGGAGTCAAGCAACCCACTCACCTCAGCCTCCCAAAGTGTTGGGATTATAGGTGTGAGCCACCGCATCTGGCCCTGAGTTTTTGTTTTTGTTTTTTTTTTTAGTTAAATTGAATTAAAATGCATAGGAGAAATATGTAACCAAACCTGGGAAACCAGAGACTTCCCAGAGGAGATGATGCCTGAGAGCTTGAAAGGATGAGAAAGTTATCTAGGTAGAAGGAATGTGGAAGTGGAAGGCATTTCAGGCAAGAGCAGAGGTCAAGGGGGAAGTATGGTATGTTCTAGAAACTGCTAGTCATTTGGCTGCAATTTAGGGTTCATGAGGGACAGTGGCTGTGGGAGGAGACCAGGTCATTTATTTGTGTGTTCATTAACAGATTTGGTAGACACTGATAGGTACAGTGTGCTCAGTCCTAAAGGTGGGAGATGCACTGGACATCTTTGCTCTTGAGGAGTTTGTGAATTATCTAGAAGCTGCTTTATCTTAGATGGAGAGCCTTTGAGGAGTTTAATAAGGGATGGTCGGGAGGAATTATAAGATACATATTCTAGAACACTAGGATGGTGTGTTTCAAATTATCTGTGGTGAAGGACAGTTTTCTATTTTATTTCCAATCCATCAGAGACTGATAAAGATAATAACATTATAAAGACAAATACAAGTCCATGTTTCTTCATATTAGATTCAACAGCACAGCATACAACTACTGTAAAATTGTTATGTAAGTTTTTCAGTGTCTGCTCTCAGTTTCCACTCTTATCCTAGACCAGGGATAACTGTAAACAGCACTGGTTTGCAGACTGTCCTTTAAGTAGCACTGTTCAAAGAGATCACGTCTTAGCTGCAGATGGAGAATTGATTGGAGGAGGATTGAATGAAGGCAGAGCTCAGCAGGGGGGCTGTTTCTCTGAGGCAGGCAAGTGACAGTGGTAGGCTGGACTGGGAAGTGGCAACGGAGACAGAAATTTTGGAGGTAAAAGCCACAGATTTGGTGAAGTGGAGGAGTCAAGGGGAAAGGTAGGAATTAAAGATGCCGCCCAGGTTTCTGGCTTGAGCAACTGGATTGGGTGATGGTGATAGTGACTGAAATCTGGACTGGAGAAGATAATGTTTGAGGGAGGACCATGAATTCAGTTCTGAGCTAAGTCTGAGGTGCATGGAAGACTCCAGTAGGAGATATCCAAAAGGCGACCAGTTTTGGAGCTGGCTGTGGTCTTTAAGAAAGAATTCCCTGATTTAGTCTAGCATTGACTCCATCCTTGGGTCTCTGACAGACCCAGCTGGTGGTAGTGCTGTTTGTCTCTGGGGGAGGTCTGTAAGATTGGGGGTGTGGGAGAACGGAGGAAGGGGCATTGGCAGGGCTGCATATGTTGGGAGTAGGATTCAGGCCCATTTCTATGTTCTGTAGACCTGACCTTGGCAAACTCTGGGGAGCGGCAAGTCCTACTGTCCCCACTGGGTGGCAGTAGTGCTTCAGACAAGAGTTGTATGGACTAGGGGCTGCTAGGCCTTTCTCCAGGTATTTAACCATCTGTCTTGCTCCAGAGTTGATCTTTGGACTCCACAGAAGCACTTACATGTGGGCCCCTCACCTTACCATGCGGGCAGGAGTGTCTGTCCCATTACTGAGGTTCCAGAGCTGAAGACATAGTGAAGTTGCTCCCAGAATGAATCAGGGGCAGGTTGCAGTCCCAAACCCTGCTATGGCCTCTAGTCAAGCAGACAGGTTCTTTTCTCACTCCATGCTGCAGGGGCACACGCCCAGGGGCTGGCAACAAATGGGAGGAGCTGTGGTCACGGGGCTGGAGCCTGCTGGACATGACATGACATGATGTGGGCATGCCCCTACTGTGTCCCTCTGTGCCAGTAGACTGTGCAGGTACCTGTGTACTCAGAGCAGGAGTACCAGCTTTATCTCCATGACGATGCTTGGACTAAGGCAGAAACTGACCACCTCTTTGACCTCAGCCGCCGCTTTGACCTGCGTTTTGTTGTTATCCATGACCGGTATGACCACCAGCAGTTCAAGGTGAGCCACTGTGCATTTGCATGTGTGCCCAGCTCCTGGGTCTAGTAGGCCCTACTTTTATGCATCCGTTCCACGTGCCTCTGAATGTTTATTCCTCCACCCTGTCTTGCTCCTCAGAAGCGTTCTGTGGAAGACTTGAAGGAACGGTACTACCACATCTGTGCTAAGCTTGCCAATGTGCGGGCTGTGCCAGGCACAGACCTTAAGATACCAGTATTTGATGCTGGGCATGAACGACGGCGGAAGGAACAGCTTGAGCGGCTGTACAACCGGACCCCAGAGCAGGTTAGCCCAAGGCCACATGCTTGTGCTCCATGCCCCAAACCCCTTGCCCATTCCCTCCATCCTCGGCAGCTCTCACCTCCCACTCTCAGGTCCCTGTGCCTCCCACCAGTACCCTATTACCTGCCCTAAGCCCATTCCTATCTCTCACAGGCATCCCCCCTGATTTCACAGCCCTTCACCTCCCTCATGATCCCTTACTTCTCAGATTCCCTCATAGACAGCCCAGCACTCCGTCACCTCCGTGTCTACCCTCTCTCCTGGAAGTGCCCTCACACACTTTGCATCCCTCACTTTCCCAGGTGGCAGAGGAGGAGTACCTGCTGCAGGAGTTGCGCAAGATCGAGGCCCGGAAGAAGGAGCGGGAGAAACGCAGCCAGGACCTGCAGAAGCTGATCACAGCGGCAGATACCACTGCAGAGCAGCGGCGCACGGAACGCAAGGCCCCCAAGAAGAAGCTACCACAGAAAAAGGAGGCTGAGAAGCCGGTGCGGAGGCTCAGCCAGCCCAGCTCAGGGTGGAAGGGTCACCTGGCACAAGGCCCCACCCGGACTGGAGGGTTCTGAGAGCACTCAGTGCTGATGAGGTGCTGGGCCCTCTCCCTACGACACCTTGGTCTCCATAATGCCTTCTCCTCCAGGCTGTTCCTGAGACTGCAGGCATCAAGTTTCCAGACTTCAAGTCTGCAGGTGTCACGCTGCGGAGCCAACGGGTATGCGAGTTACCTCATTTAGCATGTTTGGGCCCTGGGCTCTCTGCTCTCAGCTCCACGGGGCAGGCAAGTGTGGCTAGAGCCATAGGAGATTGCTGCAGAGGTGGCCTCACCAGGATCTCAGGGATGCGGCCACACTAAGGCCACATCCTCAGCTTCCTGGCTATTTCCTTTTCTGGCTCATAGTTAACCTCTATGTGTTACCGTCTCTCCCATCCCTCTTTCCCACTGCCTTTTGTCCCCTCTAAGCGTCTTATGGCTGGGAGAGGCTTAGCTTGCCAGGTTTCATTGCAGATGAAGCTGCCAAGCTCTGTGGGACAGAAGAAGATCAAGGCCCTGGAACAGATGCTGCTGGAGCTTGGTGTAGGTGAGTATGGGGACTGGGCCCCATAGGAGGACCCACCCGAGGCTGTGGATACAGGCTGGGCAGGGGAAGGATAGTTCCTGTTGCTGACCCTCTACCACACCTGGGCTCTGCCCCCGTGCTGCCCACCGCCTGCCTGCAGAGCTGAGCCCGACACCTACGGAGGAGCTGGTGCACATGTTCAATGAGCTGCGAAGTGACCTGGTGCTGCTCTACGAGCTCAAGCAGGCCTGTGCCAACTGCGAGTATGAGCTGCAGATGCTGCGGCACCGTCATGAGGCACTGGCCCGGGCTGGTGTGCTGGGGGGCCCTGCCACGCCAGCATCAGGCCCAGGCCCGGCGTCTGCTGAGCCAGCAGTGACTGAACCCGGACTTGGCCCTGACCCCAAGGATACCATCATCGATGTGGTGGGTGCACCCCTCACGCCCAATTCGGTAAGAGCCTGGACAGGCTGGGAGGCATGCACATGATGTAGGGGCTCCTCTCCCTCTACTGCCTGCAGTAGAAATCATCATCACTTCTGTGCGGGTCTGAGACCCAGGGTAGGAGTGGTTGACCAGTGGACATCCTTGTCACTGAGCGTATGAAACACATGCACCAAGCCTGACTTAGGCCTTGGGGGTTCACTGACCTCAACGCCTTCTGTGTCCTCAGAGAAAGCGACGGGAGTCAGCCTCCAGCTCATCTTCTGTGAAGAAAGCCAAGAAGCCGTGAGAGGCCCCACGGGGTGTGGGCGATGCTGTTATGTAAATAGAGTTGCTGAGTTGGACCAGACTGCTTCCTTTTCATTTCCACCACTTCTGATGCCCCTAGTGGGAGGGTTGGGCCAGGAGGGGATTGTCACAACCACTCCATGGGGTGGCAGGTAGGTTTGCCTGTGTTTAGGTCCTTAGCAACTCTCTGACCATTAACCACTACCAGTTTTACCCAAACTCCTGCACCTCAGAGCACCTGTGGTTTACACTCAAGGTGACTTTGCATACAGCCTGTGCTGTAGTCCCCACACTTCCACAGATGTGTACATACTGAGTGAGGGTGTCACAGGTGCTGCAGCGATGGCCAGTCACACACAGATGGCCTTGTGCACAGAGGCAGTCTGGAGCATGCTCTACCTACCTTCATGTCCTGAGAGCTTTAGCGCAGCAGCAGCCGTCTCACACACACACATGGTTTTGCACACACCCCCAGTGCCTCGTTTCCCCGACTTTATTCAGTGGCACGTTCACAGCGGGGATGGGGGTAGACACAAGGTGGGGCCTGATCTGTCCTGGAGCCCTGGGGGCACCACACACCATGCACTATGGATGGGAGGGGGCACAGGGGGGGCTTGGTGGCCCCACAGAAGCCTGTGTACCAGGGAGGAGGCGGTGAGTGCCTGGGTCCCCCTAGCCCAGGCCCACAATGGGAGGGGCTGATACTGGGCTGAGATCGAGGGGTGGGGATGGGGGTCACAAAGTGTCTGCTCCAGAAGGGCCAAGTGGCCAAGCCCTTGCCAAGGGCACAAGCCCAAAGGGCAGCTGGGGGACACTCTGGACGCAGAGCTATGCCACTCTCCCTCTTCCCCTCTGGTGAGGGAGAGGATGATTCTGGGCTGGGCCAAACAGCTACCCTGTCCTGCCCCATCCTGTCCTTGGCTGATCAGAACGGCTTCGATGTCTGCTTGAAGATGAAGCCTCGGTAGGCGAGTGTCTTCATGATGTTGGCAATGTTCTTGCAGTCGTCTAAAAAGAAGAGAAGACATTTAGATCAGCCCCAGATCCTTCCCCTTCATGCCCACAGGTGCTCTTACAAGGGCAGGGGTGGGAAGCAGGGTCAGATTCCGGAGCCACAGGCTCTAGAGAGGGTGGTCCCATCCGCTGGTGGCAGCATCCCTAGCTTTGGGTTGGGCTGGGTGATGCTGGGCCGGCAGGAAGCCTGGTCTCGATGCTTCTCAGTTCCATAATTCATGCTGGAAATTGGCCGGCATGTCCCGCCCCAGCCCCAGCGGTGATGTATGGGCGCCGTCGCAGTAAGAAAAAGGCAGAGTAAATGTGTAATTTCTCCCTTGACGGCCCCCGGCCGCTGGGCGATCCTTCTTGTTGCCGCCGCGTGGGGACGGCCCGTCCGCCACACTCCGTCTTCCCGCCACCCGCCTTGATGTCTCCATTTCATTACTGCGCGGCCATTCATCACACCCACGGCCAGGGTGACTTTGCCGGTACTTTTGTGTGTGTGGGAGATGTGACCCAGGCCATAATCACTGGCGACAAGGCACAAGGCTCGGCACTGCTGGGCCACAGCCCTGGGAAACACACCTGCCCTGTGTCCTGGGCTTGCCTGGGCACCTGTTCCTGTACAGCCCTGACAGGATGGGGAGGGTCCAGATTTGTGGTCCTCCTCATAGCAGACACTCCTGGATACATCCTGCCTCTGTCCCAGTAGGCTCAAAGGGGGTGCTGGTCACTTCTGGGCCCTGTTTCTCCCCATACCTCATGTGGAATATGTCTGCATGTGTCAGACTCACACAAGCGGTTTCTCCAGTATTGGATGCTTTCAACTGTCCTAGAACCCTGGAGGCTGCAGGATCAGGCCTCTGGGCCCTCAGTATCACGGACATGGGCCGGGATTTGTTCCACCACCACCACCACCACCACCACCAACTGCAGGAGGTGTACCTGCCCAGAGCTTATTCCCCTAGAGAAAGCCTAGGAGAAACAGCCTGAGTGCCTGAGTTTTTCAGTTCATCTGCCCACAGGAGCCAACTCATCCCCTCACCTGCCTCTTCTCCACCTCCCTTAGATGCTGCTGGGCCATAATCAGGGCCTCCACCACCACCAGCCTTCATAGGATCGATGCCGTGATTGTAGAAATATTGTACATCAATGTCATAATCAAGCATGGGGGGTAGTAAGGTCAAGGTGGGGTCAGGAAACCTCTGCATGTCAAGGCCCACCCTTGCCAGGACCTTAGCCTAGGAAGGGGGACCCTCCAGCACTAGCAAAGGGCAGTGGGAGGGTCAGCCCAGGCCTTTTATCACTAGCCAGATCCTAGCTCTGCAAAGCCTGCTTTGAGCAGGCAAGTCAGACAGGGTCCTGTCTTGCAAAGCTCAGCATGGATGTACCCGAAGTGGATGTGGGCATGGAGAGGTGACACCTTCCCCCAGGGACTTAGGAAGCCGTAAGGGCTGGTCTGAGGCAGAACAGTGGGAAGACAGATGGGTGGGTAGTGGCGGCCATGGCAACTCCAGACGTGACCCATCCCCGTAGTTTATGGGCCGGACACGCGCCCCGCTCAGCTGAGGCCCCATCATTTGTCTCTCTTAGTGTGTGTGCCTGTGCTGTGGGAGTAGAGGGTGGAGGAGGGAGGGGCTGTGCTAGGCAGTTGACAGGAAGGGGAATGGGACAGGAAGGGGCCTCAGAGAGGGAGGGGTTAGGATGCGAACCATGGGCTGTGATGGTGCCAATAGAGGGACTATGATAGGGTGATTTTCTTCCCAAATAAGTCTGGCCCTGTCAGGGCACCTCCAATCTTTCCTGTCTCCTGCACCCTAGGGACCATGGGCGCTGTGCATATTAAGAATAAGTCCCCTCGTTATCTGCAATTACCCAGCAGCCACACACCTCATTTCTTCCAACAGAAAAGAAAATTAGTTTTCTATTGACTTCATCTGGCTCCTCCCTCATTGCTGGACATATCATTCAATTTGCTTCCTCTAGCCCAAGTGACTGTCCTAGCCCCAACCCCCAGGTCAGCAGCGATCCAGTGGGCAAGCACTGATCTCCCACCTGTGCCTGGCCCTGTGCTGGGAGAAGGTCCTCATGTCCCAGTCTCTGTCCTTGACCTCTCCCCACTCTACACACTGGATAACTTCATCTAATTGTGAGTGTCAGCTACTGCCTGAAGATCACTGTCTCCAGCCTGGACAGCTTCTGGGCTTCACATAATCCTGAACATCTCTTTCTAGATAAACAAACTCAAAACATCTAATCATGAGCTAATTTTCTCCCCAAAAGGCTTCTTACCCCTCACCCTGCTATGTTCTCCATCCCAGTGAATGGCACCATAATCCACCCAAAATGCCCAAAGAAGAAACTTGAGAGTCATGTTGCCACTCTGCCCTCACTCTCCAAATCCAATTAAGTATGAACTTCTGCAGATTTTCTCTTATTCTCTGCCTAATCATCTGGGATTACAACAGCCTGTCCTCTTTCTCCCTTGAATTCATTCTCTTATAGCCAAAGTGATCTTTCTTACATAAATCTGATCATGTTCTTTCTCTTTAAAGCCATTCAGTGGCTCTCCTTGCCCTCAGTTTAAAGTCTACACTTCTGTATTATGTCTTAAAGGCTCTGCAAAAATTGATCCCTGCTACCTCTGGTTTCTGCCATGCTTAACCCTCAATCCCTGGACTCCAATCTCAGGACCCACTCACTGTTTTCTAAAAATGGCAAAGTGAGTTTTGGAGCCAGACAGACATGTTTCCAATCTTAACTTCACCCACTGGCTGCACAACACGCAGCAAGGGCTTAGCATCTCTAAATACTTAGGTTCCTCCACTAGGGTGATAATGGCCTTGCTGTTATTGTGAAGACCGAACAAGGTGTTGCACCCACGTCTTTGCACATGCTGTTCTTTATGCTTGGATTAACTCCTCTTTCTGAAGAAAAGGCAAGGAAGCTAGTTTTCTGGAGGATCCAGTGGTGAGAAAGTGTAAACCATACAACTGATAGCACAGATGACTGATAGGGGCTGGCAGACTTGGTGAAACCAACTGGCATTCACTCCAAATTTTGACTACGGATCCTGTTTACTGGGTATTTCTGGAGTCTAACTTGTTGCAATTAGCCCACTATAATAAAGAGAGGCCAGGGAAAGGAAGAAATTTGCTCTGGTTCTCCTAGCAAATCAGTGGAATGGCAGTCATGGGCTTCCAGCCATAGGCTCTTTTTCCAGCCCTAGAAGCCTTGATAAGAGTCCATGCAAACTACTGTTTTTTTGTTTTCTAAGTCTATGGCCCTGCTATAAAGTGAGGAAACTTGGCAGAAGAAGCACTAGAGACAGATCTGGGGCTTTTAGTAGGCCAAAAGTTCAGAGAGAGAGAGCAGCAGGGTGAGTCTGGTGGCAACACGGTCTCTTGGAAAGTTTTCTGCTTCAAGCTCTGGGGGCCACTTGGGTTAGTAGGCTTGTCTTCCAGCACCTCTCATTGAGCTAAGGAGGCCAGCATGAAGCTGCCGTAGGGTGGGAGTAGGGGTGCAGGGAGCACAGCCCTGCACCCACAAGAGGCCTCCAAGAGTATGTCTTCCTCACCTTCAAATTCTAGAAGGCTAACATTTGGTTCTGTTTTGTTTTGAGACAGTCTTGCTCTGTCACCCAGGCTGGAGTGCAGTGGAGTGATCTCAGCTCACTGCAACCTCTGCCTCCAATTCTTGTACCTAGGCCTCCCAAAGGGCTGGGATTACAGGCATAAACCACCGCACCTGGCCAGGCTAACCTGTTTTTATGTTTCTGCAGGATCATCAATTTGTGACAAGATGACCCTCTCCTCTTCTTTTTTGGAGCATTAATATTCTCAATGTTGGAAATATTTTTATATTGCCAAGACCATAATGTGAGGTGTGCAGCTGCATAAATCCCTGAGAAAAGATTAGTGGGGATAGCACCTAACAAGGAAGGATAAGCTTGTTGGCTGGGCCCAAGGACAGTCAAATGTCTGCCTGACAAAGAACCTGCACACGGAAGAGTCCCTCAGATCACTTAGGACACCCAGAAAGAGCTCACAAAGGGCAAACAACCTAAGGCTGATATTCTCCATTAGTGGCACTTACCTGGGAACTGAGTGGCAGAGGACAGGAAGCAGGGCCTGGGCTATGGAGACCCTCAGGAGGAAAGGAACCCAAGAAGTTGGAGGTCCATTCATTCAGCAAACATGCATTGACACCTGTGTGCTCAGTGATCCTGTACTACACTGCTTCTGAGGGATGTGCAAGACTCTGTAGCTCCCTGCCCTCAAGGAACTCAAAGACAGCTCTGTCAGGGGTGCAGTGTTATGAGAAAAGGACACATAGAAAAGTCATCTCGTTCTGTTTGAGGATCAGAGAAAGATTCCAAAGCTAAGGAGAAGTCTTAGGGGATGGGGGAGGGAGCTACCCCAACCAGTTATGTTGGGGTGAGGAAGATGTTCTCAGCATAACAGTATAGGCATATTTATGGAAGTGAAATGTGGAGTGTCCAAAAAATAAATAAGTTTATCAGATGGGTGGGAGGGGGGATGAAGAATCAGAAGGGAGTAGCAAGAGATGAAGCTGGTGGTCAGTGAGTGACGAAAGGGGATCCTGAAGAGCCCAAATGCTAAACTAAGGAGCTTAAGATGTTATTATTCTGAGAATGATGGGTAGATATTTACATGTCAAAGAAGGGGAATGACAGTACCAGATCTATGTTTCAGAATTATCATCCTAGGTGTGAAGACAAGATTAGAAGGATTAACCCCGAGGGCAGAGAGATCAATTAGCAGATTGTACTATGGTCCAGACCAGAAATAATGGCCCAGAACTAGGCCAGGAGTGGTGGAAATGGAGCAGAAGATCTATTGATAATGTGGGGGAAGTGGATGGAAGTAAGACAATTTTTAGGAAATAGAATGAGCAAGCCTTAATGGGGGGATTGGGACAGCAGGACCACTCACTGAGATAAGGCATACCAGAGAAGGTGCAAATTTAGGGCAGTAATAAACTTAGTTTTG